CAGTGAGGCAACTGTTTTTCAATTATTCTTATAACAAACAAGAATAATTTGAGATGGACATACTGCATATGAGGCCCATGGCCAGCCTGAGTAAGAGCGACAGTGTTTGATTACTCTCTAGATTTCAACTGATTGGTTAGTTTTTGTTAAGCCCCAGTTCCTGGAGTCATGTGAATGCAGCAGAATGAAATCAAAGCACATTTCTAGCCCTCACAGAGTGAAGCTTGAACTTGTGACCCCTCAATGGTATTAAAACTAGAAAACAAACAAAAAAGGAGCCCCTCCTGTATTTATCTTTTACAAATAAAAACCCTTCATGATTGTTTGGGACCTGACTCATGATTTTGAACACTTGATACTGACCCTTCCAACATCAGCTCTTCAAACATTACAGTCCAAATGTACTTCCTGGAAAGTCAGTGGCATACTCCCAGAATCCAGTCTTTGTTCTTGTAACACTTGATTTAATTTTGAAGCGTAGCACGAGTAACACTGTGGAAAGAAAAAGCTGCAGCATACAGAGGAGAACACTTTTAATGCTACCTCATGACATATTTGTTTTAGGATTCTATTGTAGCATATGTATCAAACCACAGCAAGTATATCAGCTAACATTGCATTTCTGAGCTCAGTTATATTTTAAGAGGTTTACTTCAAGTCTGAATAACATAAAACCCTTCATACTAAACAGAACAGTGTAATGCTTTTGACAAAAAAAATAAATACATAAAAACCCAAATGAAACTGTCTAATAAATGCTGTGTGGAGCAGCATGGTGCATGTACTAGAGGAATTAAGCCATTTTAAACTGTGCAGGGAGTACTCCATTTTCATATATGCTCATCAACTTCCACTGATTTCAATGGCAGTTGGATGAAAGCATCAAAGGGTAAAATTTGGCTCATAACACTCACGTGGATTTGTTAACATAGGTTTATGACCTTCTAATGCTAGATTTTCTAAACTGTTAAAGATGCTATCCAGCTGTAAAAATCAGCTATGGCTGCTGTTGAGATTAGCCTGTGGGCTCCACAGCTTTGGGGCCAAATTCATTGTGGGCATAATCAAAGACAACTAAGATCTGTAGAACTGTGCCTACTTACTCCAGTGATGAATTTGTCATGTGGAGGATAATCATAAGTTTGTAACCATTGAGGGAACTTTTAGCTAGAGTTTTAAATGGGAATTAGACATTGTCAATATGAGAAGCGATTTCTCTGGGCCGAGTGTAACTCCACTGACTTCACTGATCTCACAGGAAGGGTAAATTAAACTCGTACGGCCACCCAGCACTATGCCCATATAAGCAACTTTGTGAATATAGGTATGAATTCTTATCCCAGTTACACAAGCATAAAACTAGCATAAATCCATTGAAGTCAGAGCAGAGTTACACCTGATTTTACATTAATGTAACTGAGAGAACTAGCTTATGATAACCTAGCTCCTTGGCTGCAGTTGGGCAGCAATCGGCACTGTGGAGGAGGCAGCGTTGTAAATGTGTATTTTGCATTCATCACCTGATGCTGTGATCTCAAAATAGTAGAGTCTCTGGTGGATGTTTTACTGAGACTAGCTGTCAAGATCCCAATGGGCCATTCTGGCAGCAAGTGATTGCTGCAGTGCAGGGTGCCTTAACTGTGTCCTCTTTTCTTCAGCCAGGCCTCCTTTGCCAGGGGGCTGGGAGAAGTAGGAGCAGAAATCTTCCAGTGGTCCGATCCAGTGGCAGTATTGCACCACTCGGCTGTTTTGTGTCAGTGAATCAGATCTGTGTATTCAAGAATGTAATAAAAATCTTTACACTTTTTAAAAGCAAAAATAACCTCACTGTTCATAAGCAACATCTCATTTTTAAACCCCAGTCTCTCCTTTGGGTTATTTTTTTCCTCTTAATAGTACAGGACATTTCACTATTTTATGTCTCATTCATTTGTGAAATGTCATAATTAAATCACAAAAGTTCCCTCAAACCTATATATGTTTGGTTTTTTATTAAAGTACTAGAACTAGTTAAATGATTCTTCATGACAATTAATTAAAACACATAAATAAATTAATAAAATACCATTTTAAAATGGACTACTCCACTGAAATGTTATTTGGTATGCAGATCCGTAATCTAAATCGAATTCTGGTGGTTGAACTATAAACTCTTAGGCATATAGTAATGGTTTGTAATGGCAATTCTTAGAAACCCTATTGATATATTATGTAATACATTTCATCCTCAGCTCACACAACCTGACATGACGTTTAGTTTTGAATGGTCATTTCAATATTAATTATAGAGTAACAGAAAAATTGACTAATTCTTAGTGGTTAGTCGACTATTCTATTGTCCTGGGAGGCGGAGCCAGCAGCCAATGCAATCTGGCCCTATTCCTTGGAGCCCTTGCTACCTCATGCTGCTGCCTCTGTATCAGAAGCAGCAATCAGGGGAGTTATAGTTGGGATTGGGCCTGCCTTGGGCAGGGAGCTGGACTTGATGACTCCTGAGGTCTCTTCTAGCTCTATGATTCTATAGTTCAATCACCAGAGGCAGCAAGGAGGGTAAATGCAAGTAGTCGACTAGATTAACTGATAAGACTTGGCTTATTAGTTAATCATCTAATCGACTACTCATTTACATCCCTACTTAATTATATATTTGTGTGTGTGTGTGCACGCAAAATAAGGAGTAACTTCATTATCATTAGAATTATACTTGTGTATAACCAATACAAATGAGAGAAGAGTCATGTTTCATTTGCACTATATTCACTGTAGCCTCACAATTGTAATTTTACAAAATATCTAGTAATTTTAGATATGAATAGTATCATTGAGTTCAGTGGGAGTATTCACATATGTAGGATCTGTGCCTATCAGTGAAATCCTGTGTGCATTGAAGTTAATTACCAAACCATACAGATTTTAATTATAATAACATTTGTGAGACATCATCCATATGATTTAAGTTAGCTGGGTATTTTTGCTTGTTCGAGTTGGGTATGCTCTTACTTCTTGATATTCTGCTACCATATTGTGATGCAACATTGGACATGTAGATGTTAAAAAATATGCCTAATATAGCACTAGTGTATTCAGTTTCCTGGGTGAGGTGTCAGCCAGCTCTGCCATTGTCTCTCGATGGGGAAAGGATTAACTCTTTTCCTCTCTATCTCATACTAGGTGCAAAAGCTAGCTGCTTCGTCTCATATTTTCTGCCCATATAGGGCCAGTAAGTTGGCATGACCTGGCTGACAGCCAACTCATCTGGGAGGGGGAACCAGCTGGCTTTAACAGATTTTATTTACTATACTCCTTTATCAGAATGTATGTGAATAAAGTTTTCCACCTACAAACCTCAGTGCTGAAATATTTAATGGGCATAAAGATTTTAGTACATAGAGGTCTTTGTGCAGAAGTCTGTTATTCACTAAAGCTTTTATGCCCATAAAGATCTTACAGCATAAAAATCAAATGGGATAATAAAACAAATAGTGATTGTCTCCAGGGGACATTAGCAGTTAAAAAAACAATTGCCTTTATGTATAACCAGTTACTGAGATTGTACATGCTGTGTCAAAATCAGCCCTGCAGTAATTCCTCTAAATTCACTGGAGCCACATGAGAAATTAGATTGGTCCATTGCTCTCAGTCTTCAGCTTCAGAGGATATATTACAATCCAAGGAGCTATTGTCAGCATTATTCTTCTGTTAAAATAGACAATCTGAGCCCCCCTTCCTCCCCACACACACACATATTATTTTTCCAAGACCACGGAAAAGAATTGAGGACCTCTTAACTGTTGTCTCCCCTCCTCCACCCAGTTTTTCCAACCTCACTGCTTTTTTTTTTTAACTGAATTGCCCGTGGCTGGAATGTGCCACTTCTGATGTGGAAGTTGGCTACTCTTTGACTGTGAACATTGGCATTGGCTTAGGGCAAAAGTAATACAGTGTCTAGTTGAAACTTCAGTAAAAATTTTGGTAAAATTAAGTTAGTCAGATTAAACTCTGACCTGGAGAACTAGGCTAACAATGTGTTTTTCAGAAAGTGCACTGGAAAATTAATGACCACAGATGCTGAGGGCTTAATTGTTACTTCTCATCGATAAAACAAGGGGCTTCATTCTCAAATCTAATCTGATTTGCAGTAGGATATAAACAGACCTAAACTTATGTGATTCAGTATGTAGATGGTTCCTCAAGTTTTCAGGAAATCTAGTGAATTAAGATTTTGGTAGTGGCTCTCTTATGATCTCTGTGCCCTAGCACAGTAACACGTATGGGGAAAAGGAATCTTGACATGAGCATTGACACAACCTGGTGATCTCTGGCTACTAAAACAGCCTCTGAGGTATATTGGCAACAGATCTATTTAAAACTGTGCTGAAGACAAAGCCAGCCTTAGGACCAGGGCTAGAAAGGGGTCATTTGCTGTTTTCTTCCCCACCTATGTCCAATGCTCTTTGGGTACTTCTGAGAAACTGGGCCAAAACCTTTAGCAGCAAAGTGTAGGGGCACCAGATCAGTACCAATTCAGGAGGAAACAGGCTATCTCCCATTTCTTGATGCATTGTGATTATAATGGAGCAGGAGCACCCTGGTCTGATTCTGCTTAATCATTCGCCTGGAAAAGATCACATACCAAAGTAGTGTAGCTGGTGGAAATGATTATTGCTTAGCCCAAATGGTTTGTTAGTGTTAAGTACCAGTTCATTAACCATAAGAAATGTGAGCTAAGTCTTTTCAAACTTGACGAAGAATGAACCTGATCCTACAAATTCTTTTTGTTTGTCCACTGACCTCAGTGTAATTACCTGTCTAAGAACTACTCATGTGAGTAAGTTTTTGCTGGACTGTTCCTCTTAGTTTTGTTGCCAAGAGGCCAAGGCAACAAGTTCATGTTCTTTGTTACAAATAAATGAATATAATTAAAGTAGCTGTTAATGGGAGTGAAATAATAAATAAAAATGGATTAAAATTTGACCAAGCTCTTCTTTTTCATTTTCTAGTATCTGAACTACAAGAAGAAGGAATAAATGCCATTAATTTGCCTCTCAGTCCAATTCCATTTGAACTAGACCCTGAGGACACGATGCTGGGTAATTCACAATAATTTTACATCTTGACATAAGAGCCTATATAAACTATAATGTTATAAATGTTCAATTTTTGTAATATCTTTTTAATACAAATTATAGAGGAAAATGAAGTCCGAACAATGATTGATCCAAATTCAAGAAGTGATCCCAAATTACAAGAGCTAATGAAGGTAATGGAAAGCATGCACCCACTTTCAGATTTCATTGTACAAATGAAGCTAATTTATTTCTTTTACCTGACTTCTTTCATATGAACAGTACTGTATTAGCAATTAATAGTGCACATGCGGTATTCTGGGATTTAATCCAGATCATTGAGAGTGTGTGTTCCTGTCTGCCCTGTGACTCTAGGTGCTTGAATGCTTTGCTGCTCTGGGGCACAGCCCTGACACCAACTGCCAGCAGACAAATGGAGGAAGCCAAACAAGCAGTTTGGGGGAAATTTGGGACTGGCCATGTGTTGGAGTCACTCTGCAAGAAGTAACCAAGACTGGTAGAAGGCAGAGCATAGCTGCTTTCTTGTAGGCAGGTTGCTAGGGTCAGAGTACTAAACCAGAACATCATAGTACACAGACATCTCCAGAAAAGTTAGATGTCTGCAAGTCACCAGGAATCTAATGCATCCTAGTATACTCAAGAAGCTGGTAGAGGAGGTATCTGAGCCTTTAGCCATCATCTTTGAAAAATCATGGAAGACGAGAGAGATTCCAGAAGACTGGAAAAGGGCAAATATAGTGCCCATCTATAAAAAGGGAAATAAGAATAACCTAGGAAACTACAGACCAGTCCGTTTAACTTCTGTGCCAGGGAAGATAATGGACCAAGTAATGAAGGAATTCATCTGCAAACACCTGGAAGATAATAAGGTGATTGATAAGTAACAGCCAGCATGGATTTGTAAAGAACAAATCATGTCAAACCAATCTAATAGCTTTATTTGATAGGATAACGAGTCTTGTGGATAAGGGAGAAATGGTGGACATGGTATAGCTAGACTTTAGTAAGGCATTTGATATGGTCTCGTATGATATTTTTATCAATAAACTAGGCAAATACAAGTTACATGGGACTGCTATAAGGGTGGGTGCATAACTGGCTGATAACTGTTCTCAGAGAGTAGTTATTAATGGTTCACAATACTGCTGGAAAGGCACAACAAGTGGGATTCCACAGGGGTCTGTTTTTGGACTGGCTCTGTTCAATATCTTCATCAATGATTTAGATATCGACATAGAGAGTACACTTATGAAGTTTGCAGATGATACCAACCTGGGAGGGGTTGCAAGTGCTTTGGAGGATAGGGTCATAATTCAAAATGATCTGGACAAACTGGACAAATGGTCTGAGGTAAAGAGGATGAAGTTTAATAAGGACAAATGGAAAATAGTCCACTTAGAAAGGAACGATCTGCTTCACACACACAGAATAGGAAGCAACTGTCTACTGCAGAAAGGGATCTAGGGGTCATAGTAGACCATAAGCCAAATATGAGACAACAGTGTGACACCGTTACAAAAAAAGGAAACATGATTCTGGGATGCATTAACAGGAGTGCTGTGAGAAAGACACAAGAAGGCATTCTTTCACTCTATTCTGTGCTGATCAGTCCTCAATTGGAGTACAGGCAGTCCCCGGGTTACGTACAAGATAGGGACTGTAGGTTTGTTCTTAAGTTGAATCTGTATGTAAGTCGGAACTGGCGTCCAGATTCAGACACTGCTGAAACTGACCGCCAGTTCTGACTTACATACAGAATCATCTGAGGATAGGGCAAGAAACAATGGGCGGTTTAGGTTGGACATTAGGAAAAATTTCCTGCCTGTCAGGGTGGTTAAACACTGAAATAAATTGCCTACGGAGGTTATGGAATCTCCATCACTGGAGATATTTAAGAACAGGTTTGACAGACATCTATCAGGGATGGTGCAGAATGGTGCTTGGTCCTGCCATGAGGGCAGGGGGCTGGACTCGATGACCTCTCAAGGTCCCTTCCAGTTCTAGTGTTCTATAATTCTATGAGAAGTGGAGCATGCTAATCTGCTGTCTTTTAGTGTCCGGGCTGCGAGCCACAGCAGAAGCACATTTAAGGTATCCAGAAGTTACAGGGCAGGTGATGGTACAGGCTCTCACTGGTTTGGGAATCCCCAAAGTATAACAGCACAAGTCATAATTCAATAAGTAAAGAATCAGCTATTAGATGAGGTACAAAGAAGTTAAGCGATTGACACAAGAGTACGTGAGCTAATCCCAGAGTCTGGGATGGAACTCACTAAGCTCAGTCCCCCTCTAATCAAACGACTACTCTCATTTCCTCTGTAGCTCCTTTTTCTAGCTGATACCAAGCACATCAGTTGATAGCTTCTTTAGAGGTTGGCTTCAGTAACTTGCTTCTCTCATGAAGGGCATTGAAATGAATGAAAAGATATTGGCCTAAAAGGGCATTGCATCAGTCCCATATTTGGAGCTGCGTGCTATCCTAACTCTTCCTTCCAAAAAAGTTATGAACAATATCTCCCATGTGTCCTGTGCTCAGCCTCTCCCATTTGCTCCTGCTAGAATTCCTCACTGCTTCACAGCCATTGTAGCACTGGTGCTCTCTTCACTGAGCGTGTGATATGTGTTTTACATTGTAAATACACAACACATAATCCTGACAGTTTGTGTGTTCCTCGTATAGGTTTTAATTGACTGGATTAATGATGTATTGGCTGGAGAAAGGATTATTGTGAAAGACCTTGCGGAAGACATGTATGATGGACAAGTATTACAGAAATTATTTGGTAAGAAACTAAATATATGCTGGTGGAGCACTTTCAGCGAGCAGGGCTCTCATTCCTAATCAGAAGAGGGTTGGTATCATCTTACATTTGTGGCACTAAAATTATTTTTACCTATAAAAACAGCTCAGTGTTAGAAGACTTTTGAGCAATAGGCTGTATCCTATAGTATAGAGCAGGGATGGGCAAGATGCAGCTTGTGGGCCAAATCCGGCCTGCCAAGCCCCCGGATCTGGCCCACAGCTGCCTCGCTGGGACTCTTAGAACAGCTCACACCACTTTAAACAGCTGGGTGTTCTCTGCTCTGGATGCTGGAGAGGGAGGAGGGAGGCTTTGCGCACTTTCCCCATCCCTGGGCAAAATATCTCAGCCTCCATTGTCCAGTTTCCAGCCACTAGGAGTAGAGAAATTTTACTGGGGTCAGGGGCAGTGTGCAAAGCCTCCTCCCTCCCTCATCCCCTGCTTGAGCAGAGCCACATGTAGCAGCCTGATGTTTTGACCTGGTTGGGAGCGCAACAGACAGGCACAGAGCCTGCCTCAGGTTCCTGCAGGACTGCTGGCTTGGAGTCTCCTAGGTAAGTGCTTCCCAGCCAGAGCCTGTCTCTGGCACCCCACCCCCACTTTCCCTCCAACTACCTGCCACAGGTTATCACCCAGCTCTTCTGCACCCCCTTTCCTCCTCCTCCTAGGTCACAGTTCCCTCCCAGATCCTGCACTCCCTCCTACACGCCTCTCCGAGGCCAGAATCCTCTCCTGTAACACCCATACCCTCTCCTTAAACCTGCACCCCAATCCCCTCCTCCACATCACAACCCCCTCCTTTACCCAAAGTCCCTTGTACACCCCACACCCTCTCCTACACCCCAGTACTTTACCCCAAACTCCCTTCTGCACACAACCTCTGTCCCAGAGTAGAAGTGTGGCCCTTGACCACTTACCACAATCTTGGAGTGTCCCCCCATTAAAAATTATTGCTCACCCCTTGGTATAGACTAAGGAAGCACAATTTTCTCAGCTACATTTTAAGGTGTGTTACACTGAAGTTGACAAAAAGAACAAAAAGAGTACCTGAGGTGCTGGAGACAGTGTTCTAGTGTCGGCAGCAAATCTGTATGATCTGCACGTATGCTGTGGAAACAGTGTGAAAAGTGGAAATCAAGTTTGAAAGCAAAAGGGTATTTCCATTACAGTGGTGGGTGTTTTTAATCTGTGCTGATTCCATAGTTTAGTTTATTCAGTCTCGTCTCAGAATCTCTCTTGAAAAGTTGACATTTCTATCAGATTTGAGATCTGATTTCACGTTAGTAAGGTAATTATACCCAGTGGGTTGCAAACTGAACTGCAACTGAGAAAGAAAGGAAAGACTACAGAAGCAGAGCTGGCTTGTAACTTAACTGTTGGCTTGGAAGCCACTTTCTTAATGATTACAGCTTGTAAAGTCTCCAATGAAGTCCAGTATCTGAAACTAATCTTGAAACATTCCATAAACAGTTCTAGTAATGACCATGCAGAACAGGTCCATAAAGAGACTTTTGCCTCTATGAATGATTAACAAATTGAACACTGTGATTCAATTAATATAGCTTTGTTCCTGCTATTGGATTCAGGTGGGCAGAGTCCCACTGACTTCTGTGTAGTCCAACAACATACATCAAACACAAGCTAATCAATTTATTATATACATTAATATTTCATTTGCTTGGACCTGATCCAATGCCTGTTGATGTCAGTAGGAATCCTTCCACTCAGGGGCAACTGGTGAGGAAAAACATGGTGGGGGGGAGGGAAAAGGAGGCCACTGGCCACGTGACTGCCTCTCCTCACATGACTCCTCCCCACACCACTCCTAGCCCGGGGGTGGGAGGGGCTGGGACAATGCCCCTTCCATGCCACGGCCCTGCTGCTCCTCCTCTGCCTCTTCTCTGCTCCCTAGCTCTTCACCCAAGCCCTCTCCCCTACTGATATGGCCTGAAGGACTAGTGAGAGGGCCTGACACTGGCAGCAGGGGTTCCCCCCAGTGTTCCCTATTAGCTGAGTGCTTGGGCAGCCATCCAGAAATGATTCAAATGCCCTACACCCAATTAGTAGAGCACCCACAGCCTCCTACAGCTGGTAGCATGTGTTTCTATTGGTGGTGTACATATGCACATGTCTTGGTGCACATAACAACATTTATTCTGCACATAGATGGAAAAAAATAGAGGGAGCATTGTTGCCCCTTTCTCCCTCACTCCTGCCCCTCCGTACTCACCAGCAGCAGTGTGGGGAAGCAGAGTGACGTCTCCCTAGCTCACTCTACTACCCCATCTCCAAGTGCGTCGCTCCACTTCCTGCTGCTGCTGGTGCCCCACTAGGCCCTGTTAATCTGTGATTGTAAGGAGCCTAGCAGTTTTACGAAGACATGATCAAGTATTGTCTTTGCTATTGATAAAATAATGTAGCCTGATTCTGCAGGCATTTACGCCTGTGCTATTCCACTGACATCAGGCCAGTTACTCCTGAATTAGGACAATTGGGCCCATTGGATTTTACTTACTTCAATATCAAAAGCACCTTCAATAAGTTTGTTCTGAATTTATATCTCCCTTGCTAATACAGGCAGTCCCCAGGTTACATGGATCTGACTTACATCGGATCCCTACTTACAAACGGGGTGAGGCAACCCTGCACTAGCTGCTTCCCCCCAGCAGACCAGGGAGACGTGAAGCTAGCGCCCCCCCTAGCAGACCAGGGAGACGCGGAGCGGCTTTTCTCAGCAGACACCTCATCTTGAGAATAAAGGACTGAGGGAAGTGAGGTGTGGGAGAATAAAACTGAGCTCTGGAGAAATGTTTGGCTAGAGTTTCCCCTATAATATGTACCAGTTCCGACTTACATACAAATTCAACTTAAGAACAAACCTACAGTCCCTATCTTGTACGTAACCCGGGGACTGCCTGTACAATGTGAGAGTTTAGGGTATAACATTGAGAGCAATGACTGGGAATCAGAACCCCCTGGATTATAACTTTGCTCTTGGGCAAGCCATCTCTGTATTTAATTTCATTGTATCAGTTTCCAGAACTGGTAAAATGTGGATAATTATATTGCCTACTTCAAAAAAGTGAGGATTAATCAATGAATGTTGATAAAGCAATTTGCATATGAAAAGAACAACTGCATGGAAGAGAGAGAGATTATTAATAGCAATATTTGTCTTTAAAATAACAAATATGTCTAACAAATTTCTGCTCAGGAATTCTGCATTCATATATTCCAAGACTAGAAACTATACTTGTGAAAAGAAATCATACAGTCATCTAAGTTCTTGTGCAATTAGTAGATAATTTCACAGATTATGAATGAAAGATCACTATTTGAATTAACCAATATACAGTAAAACTCCGACAGTCCAGCATCCAACTGTTCGGCACTCCCGATACTCCGGCATCAAAATGCCAAGCGCCCCTGACCAGCTGATTAAAAAGCCTGCCGCTCAGCACAGTGCTGGCTGTAACCAGACGGAGCATAAGGTTGGGGGAGAAGGGGAGCAGGATCGTGTCACAGTATGGAGAAGAGCGTTTTGCTTCAGCAAAGGGGAAAGGTGAGAAAGAGCGTTTTGCTTCAGCAAAGGGGAAAGGGGAGAGGAGGGGGAGAAGGATCAGCTTACAGCATGGAGGAGAGAGACGTGAAGAGGAAAGGGGAAGGGAGGGGAGAGGGAGGGAGATAACCCGTGCAGCTGTACCGGCCCTCCCGATTCTCCGGCAAATCTGATAATCCGGTACCACCTAGGTCCAAAAGGTGCAAATTATCGGAAGTCTACTGTAATTTGTTATAAGCAGTTTTGTATATCTTTAATCATTATGGGTATGTCTACACTACCACCCTAGTTCGAACTAGGGTGGTAGTGTAGACATACCCATAATGATTAAAGATATACAAAACTGCTTATAACAAATTACAGTAGACTTCCGATAATTTGCACCTTTTGGACCTAGGTGGTACCGGATTATCAGATTTGCCGGAGAATCGGGAGGTCCAGTACAGCTTCACGGCTTAACAGTTGGCCAGGACACAATCTCCCTCCCTCTCCCCTCCCTTCCCCTTTCCTCTTCACGTCTCTCTCCTCCATGCTGTAACCTGATCCTTCTCCCCCTCCTCTCACCTTTCCCCATATTTAAATCCCGGGCTTCATTTGCAACTTCGATTGACTACATTAACCACCGTAGTTCGAACTAGGGTGGTAGTGTAGACATACCCTACTAAATTTGCTTTTTTTTAAAGTTTTTGCTCCGCCTTGAAAATATGTTTGTGCCATTTTCTTATTACACAGAACTAATGTGACTTAAATTAATTAAAGTCCTTGTCTACACGCATAACTTGCAATAGTTTTCAACGTTAATTTTAAAACTGCTTTATTTAAACCACTGCAAATCCCTGTAGGGATTCGCTTCCATTATTTCACACCTGACTTTTATTAAGGTGGCTTAAGTCAGTAATTCACTGAGGGCAAAGCTGTTGGTTTGGAGCGGATGAATCAAATCTTTTTAGTGCGATATTTATTTCTATCAAGCCTGTTGTTTTGTAGCTCAGTTCACTTCTGTGTAGAAAATCCCCTATGGAACAGCTGTGGAAGCCCCAGCATATTTAACCCCCTTAGATGTACAGTAGAGGGAGTTGCATCCAAACCTGTCTAGCCAGTTTAGACTTTATTACTTAAGACTTAAATGTTAGGGGAAATAATGGGCAGGGCTCGCCAGCCACGCGGTTCGGCATGCTGTGCATGCGCAGACCGAGCTGCGCATGCACTGACCACCCTGCGTAGCTGTGCCGGCTTGTAATCTACTCACCATGGGCAAGTAGATTACATTAATTGTCGAGTCCTGATAATGTATTACATTAATTGTCGAGCCCTGATAATGGGAACATGTGGGTGATATGTTTAGGATTCCAAAATATTACTACATCTATATTACCTTGGGGATTAATGCTCTGAGGTTGATCCACCAGCTGTCAGTTTATTAGATCTAGTGAATTCATGTAGCTGGAGTTGCATATCTTAAGTCGACTTTCTGTGGTAGTGTAAATGTAGCCTGAGACTGGAAATCTCCTTAAGGGGAAAAAAGTACCTGAATGGACTGAGAAATCAAGGGTTAAATTTAAAGCTATGATGCTTGCTATCTTTCAAAAATCCACTGGAACAGAATGTCTTCACATATGACTGATGGCATCTAGGGTTAAGAAGTAGACTAGCTGTTTTTTTTTTCTTCCATTATCACTTCAGAGAAACTTGAGTGTGAAAAACTGAATGTTGCTGAAGTCACACAGTCTGAAATTGCTCAGAAGCAGAAGTTACAGACAGTTCTTGAAAAGATCAATGAAACCCTTAAACTTCCTCCAAGGAGTATCAAGTGGAATGTTGACAGTGAGTTGCATGTTTTACAATGGAATGCTCGTTTGTTGGTAGTGTATATGTTATAGCTCCCAGCAGCAATTCATGAACATAGAATAATAATTCCACCAATTCTTGCCCTTCCTGGTGGTAGCTGCATAGTAAGGGGAGGGTCACAGTAAATACAGCAACTTCTCTCTCCATTCTCTGCTGATTCTCAACATTTCAGGACCAGATTTTCAAAACAAGACATCTGTGTACTGAAATCTGTGTACCTGTTTGGGGCTGTGTTTACCATATATGTGGATGCAACAGTGTAACAGCATGCTTAAGTGCAGGCCCACAGACACCTTTCAGTACTTTATTACATGTAATGTGCTTGTGTAAAGCTAGACTGGATTAACGCCAACTGAATATTTAGAATGAAAACTTGCCTGTACTGAAGTCAATTGCAAAAATTCTATTGATGTGAGTGGATTCAGAATTTTACCTCTAACCTTTAATGTATATAAAAAAGTCATACTCATGGCTAGCAATGCAGGAGGTGGTGATTGTGATTTTGGATACTTCAAATGTTGGTGCCCATCCTGGGACTCTTTAAAGGTGTTTGTGTTTCAGAAGGTGGATGTGCAACACGTTCTGAAAACCAGGTGCCTTACAGGTGTCTAAAGATGGGCACCCAGAATCATGAGGTCATTCTTTAAAATCTTTGTTTCATAGCAGTTTTCACTGTCCTCTCAGCATCCTGAGCCATGTTCCCTAACACCCTCCATGTCCCCTTGTCCACACCAATCTGTGGAGAGAAAAGAGGTACGTCTGAGGAGGCAGGGTGAACATTAAGCAGAGCTGCCTTTACTGCTCACCCTATAGTTTTCTTCCATTCCCTCCTACTATGTGGGATACACAAGGGTGGGGGCAGAGGGGTCCTGTGATTGAACGTACAGTTTTCCTTGGTCTTTGTTTTATGTGTTGCGTATGTTTATGACTTTTAGTGCTAAGATAATGCAGACACACAGGCCAATTGTAGTGCAAGGAGCTGCAGGCCAGGCTTCTTAATTCAGCTCTGCCAAAGCACCTCATTCCTGACATGTGGTATCCCCAATAAAGCTTGCCAATAGTGCCAAATCATGCAGTGTTTTTCAAATAAATCTCTTGCACATTTGTGACTTAGGCCACGTCTACACTACGAGATAAGGATGAATTTATTAAGATATATTACTGCCCGATTTTGTTAAATTGAAGGTCCATGTCTCCACTGTGCACAAGAATTCAACATAGTTTGAAGTAGCGCATCCCTGGTAGGGATACTGCCATCAACATTGAGAGTGATTGTGATGGACCAGGCCGGGTTTGGGCACAGCTGAGGGCGTCCGCTCAGGGCAAATTGCTCAAATTCGGGGCTCCTTACTGCCCCTGACTGGAGGCCCTTCCCAAATAGGCCACAAACTAGTCCCACAGAGCGTTTCAGCTGCCAGCCTGGCCAGCCAGAAGCCTTACGAGCATAACCTCTCTGGCACCCCAGCTCTCTCTGTGCCCCAAACAGCGCCGGGCCTAATACACAGGTGAGGGGTTACAGAACCCAATCTCACCTACCCCGAACAGGTTCCCTGGTCCCTAGAAACCAGCCACAGTTCCCAGGTCAATTTACGCTCTGGATCTCACCCACAAGATCACGCTGAGACAATCCTTTAGAATCTAAAATCTAAAGGTTTATTACTAAAAAAAAGAAAAGCATGAGAATAAGGTTGTTAAAGGATAATGCATTACATGCATCGAATCTCCCAGTTCTCAATGCAGGCTCTTAGCAGAGATTTTATAAACTGCTATCTTAAAAGTCATTGGTGTACATCCTATGTTAGGATAGGTCCACAATTCTTTCTGGCTCGTAGTTCCCTGCGAGGCTGCATCTGGGATTAAGAGCAAATCTGAAGACAAAAAAATGGAGTCTGTCACATGGCATTTTATATCCATCTAGCTATGTTCTTGATCAGAGAAGGTCACATGGTCCCTGGCCAGGTGTGTCTTTGGTATTTAGCGATCCATTGTCCCTGGAGCCCCGCTCATTAGCATATCCATTGGCTAACCATTCCTCGCCTATTGCTCAACCACATGCAGAGTACATGTTTATAACTTCACATACAGATATTATACAATTACATGAATAGCATATATAGAATCAGAAGAAGATAAGTTTTTGTTTGACACTGCACATGGTCCCCTTTGCATACACTTTGGGGCAAACACCCCCTCACGGGTGCAGCAGTGATCTGGCTGCTCCCTTTGAAATCCAGGAACGTGAAAGTGATGCACTGTGGGCAGCTATCCCACAGTGCCTGCACCACTTTGCAGTCTGGGTTATGCACACTGGGTCCAAAACTGTGCAGCGGGTGGTTACTGGTCCATGTTGTCAGTGTCCCAGAATGTGCTCATCTACTAGCTCTACCATTACTTGAGATCAAAGTGAAAGTCTTTTCACATCCTTTTTGGACCTGGTTACCTGCACAGAAGCCAAAGCAGCCTTATCATGGATCATGGAATGCTGGTTCTGGTGACACCAGACAAGTACAGGCCACTTTCTTGGAACTTTATGATTTGCTTTCCCCCACACTGAGCTGCAGAAACACCCAAATGAGAGTCACTGTGACAGTGGAGAAATGCATGGCCATTGCCCAGTGGAAGCTTGCAAAGCCAGGCAGCTACTGGTCAGTTGGGAATCAATTTGGAGTGGGGAAATCGACAATGGGGGCTGCTGTTATACAAGAAGCCCAGTCAAGCAATACTGTTCTGCTACAGGGAGTAGTGTCTCTGGGAAACATGGATTCCACAGTGGCCAGCTTTCCCATGATGGAGTTCCCTAACTGCAGTGGAGCAATTGACGGACTGCACATGCCCACCTTGGCACCTGACCACCTTAACAAGGAGTACATAAACCGCACAGAGCAAGCAATACTGTTCTGCTACAGGGAGTAGTGTCTCTGGGAAACATGGATTCCACAGTGGCCAGCTTTCCCATGATGGAGTTCCCTAACTGCAGTGGAACAATTGACGGACTGCACATCCCCACCTTGGCACCTGACCACCTTAACAAGGAGTACATAAACCGCAAGGGGGACTTTTCCAGGGTGCTGCAGGTGCTGGTGGATCACAAGGGCCATTTTACTCTCATTAATGTGAGATGGCAAGGAAAGGTGCATGACATGCGCATCTTTAGGAACTCCTGTGAGCTGGAACTTTTTTCCCAGACTGGAAAATTAGAATCGGAGAGATGGAAATAGCAACAGTGATCCTTGGTGTCCCAGGCTGCCCCTTGCTCCCATGGCTCATGAAGCTGTACATGGGCAACTGCAGGCTGAGAGAGTGCAGAAAGGCGGTGGAATGTGCGTTTGGGCTTTTAGAGGGCAGCAGACAGCTGATGGAGCCAGTGGAGTACACAGCAAGCTCCCTGCTGTTCCCACTATACCAAAAAGTTACGAGGGCACACGTTACAGAAGATACATTGAATTAAACCTAAATCTAATCTATTAACATACAGCAAAGGTCTCTTTAAAGAAAGTGGAGGTATGTTCTGTGCAAGACCAAAGTTATTCATTAAAGCAGCCACTGTACAGCAGGTATACAACAGAGTTCTCAGGAGAACATCTGGAATCGCAGTTTGGAGGCAGGTATGGTTAGGAACCTGCCTAGGCACGATCCTGTGGGTGGAAGGAGGAAAGGGGTCTGGTGATGGCAATAGGTCACATGGCTTCCCTCCTCTGTGTCTGTGTGGCCTGGTCTCCCTGGTGGCAGTGTGGCCTAGTGGTTGGGTCCCACAATTACCTGGCAGAAGAGAGGTGCAGACCCCTGCTACTAGTGCCTCAGCCTAGAAACTCCAGCCCACTCTATGGGTGTAGTCCTTGAGTTTGGAGTGGGATCCCAAGCGTCCAGATCTTCTCCTTAGCAAGGTTCTAGCAGGTTTCCCCCTGTTTCTTGGGCTGTGGGTTGGAGGCTTATGTGCTTCTGTGGCTGGCCAACTGGACAGGCTTTCGTTCCTGTCCTGCAGACAGCAAAGCTATGTTCCTGTCTCCTCACTGGTCAGCAGCTAACTGAGCTAGGCTCCTCCCTCCAGGCCTGGCATTGGCTACAGGTAAGCAGGCTGGGGCTAGCTGGACCAAAAGGCTTTGTTTAACCCCTGTAGGACCAGGTCCTCCTCTCTTCTCTCCCTCACAGTCTGCAACACCAGGCTTCCCAGGAGAGTGCCTCTTTTCCATCCTGTAGGAGCCTGCTGGCAGGAGGGAGAGAGGGGGTGCCAGAGGCTGAGGCCATGCTAGCAGCAGAGGCAGCAGCTAATAGCTTCCCCTCCTTCATCCAGGCTGCCATGCGAGATATCAGTCTTCACCAAGCCATATAGAGTGACAGGGAGCAGATGCTGTCTGAATGTGGCCACAAACCTGGGCCTTATGCTGCAATGACAGCAGACCACTTACTGCTGGCTTGGCATGGAAAGGCAGCCTACCGTGGAGATGGCATAAGGCTGCCCCCCTGGGAACCTTGTGAGAAGGACCAAAGAGTTCCCCTATGAGAGCTTCATAGAGATGTGCAGCAGTATTCCTGCTCCATCTCCAGACACGTTAACCAGTTGTTCCACACCCCTCCTCCCCCCATGCTCTGTAAGCACAGAGTGCACCACACATCACACCCAATTGCCTTAACCCACTTGTAGCAAGAACAAGAAAAAAAAAAGTGAACTCACCAGAAGGCCCTCCCGGGGGTCATTGCCCAGCTGTGAGACATCCTGGGACAAGGGGATTGTCTCTAAGGTCATGCTGCTCCATTTCCTCTTCCTCCACAATGGTGTCCTGATGAGTGTCTTGGGAGGATTCCAAGGCCTGGCTTGGGAAGGTGGTTAAGTCTCCCCATAGAAGTGGCATGTGTGCAGTGATGCTCCAAACCTTCAGTTTGTCTCCTTTGACAGCACTGCCCTCAGCACCTTCATTTTCATTCAGCACAACTGGGCACCCTTATCATATCCTTTCTCCTCCATGGACATTGCAAGCTTAACATAAATGTCTGGGTTTCATTTTCTGGTTCAGAGCTCTGCAAGAATGAATTCCTCTCTGTACACCTTAAGGAGGTGCACAGTCTCATTCATATTCCACACTGGTGTTCATCTGTGCCCATGCAAACTAGAGCTCATGGGACTTGAACTCAGGCCTACATGTGCTGCTCTGGTGTGCGCCCTACTCTGATGTGTGCTCGCCACTCTGTTTAGAATGGGTGATTAAACTCTGTTTCCCAGCACTTTTCCTGGTTACTTGAAGAGCAGTAGAGTCACAAGTTCTGTCCAGAGTGGTTACAGAGGAGCACTGTGGGATGCCTCCGGAGGCCAAGAATATTGACTTTTGCAACATTGGGTCTACACTACTATAGAGTCAACTGTGCAAGATTGAATTTAGCATTACTCCTTGTGAAAAGCAGGAGTACTGAAATCAACTTTAGTGGCCCTTAAAGTCAATGGAACAGGCTTGGTAGCGTGGACTCATGTTTAGAAAATCAATCTTATGGGGCTAAATTCAACCTAAACTCCTAGTGTAGATCAGATCTTAGAAATGACGGAGAACACTTCGCTGATCTTTTACCATTTTACTTGTGTAATAACTTAGTAATTTTTAATCAGTTTATGTATGGAAAATGTGCAGCATTGTTTTGTAGCTGTCATCCATCGTTTTAGAACATTGCCCCAAAGGAAGCCTAAATATGTAGTGTAAATCTGGGCACAAGGAAAAATAATAAGAAAGGAAGTACTAAGTTAGAAATAGATTCCCCTTTGATGTCAGTGGGTTGATACCTGATTACAGCATACCTACAGTAAGTCCTTTGATATCTTGTACATCTTGCTAATGTTAACTACCCATATCAAACCTGCTAAGAAAAAACTAAAAAAACAAGAACTATAACAAGTTCATAAGGAATGTTTGAGTCACTGAGTTTAGTAAAGAGTGACAGGGAGCAGATGCTGTCTGAATGTGGCCACAAACCTGGGCCTTATGCTGCAATGACAGCAGACCACTTACTGCTGGCTTGGCATGGAAAGGCAGCCTACCGTGGAGATGGCATAAGGCTGCCCCCCTGGGAACCTTGTGAGAAGGACCAAAGAGTTCCCCTATGAGAGCTTCATAGAGATGTGCAGCAGTATTCCTGCTCCATCTCCAACACGTTAACCAGTTGTTCCACACCCCTCCTCCCCCCATGCTCTGTAAGCACAGAGTGCACCACACATCACACCCAATTGCCTTAACCCACTTGTAGCAAGAACAAGAAAAAAAAAAGTGAACTCACCAGAAGGCCCTCCCGGGGGTCATTGCCCAGCTGTGAGACATCCTGGGACAAGGGGATTGTCTCTAAGGTCATGCTGCTCCATTTCCTCTTCCTCCACAATGGTGTCCTGATGAGTGTCTTGGGAGGATTCCAAGGCCTGGCTTGGGAAGGTGGTTAAGTCTCCCCATAGAAGTGGCATGTGTGCAGTGATGCTCCAAACCTTCAGTTTGTCTCCTTTGACAGCACTGCCCTCAGCACCTTCATTTTCATTCAGCACAACTGGGCACCCTTATCATATCCTTTCTCCTCCATGGACATTGCAAGCTTAACATAAATGTCTGGGTTTCATTTTCTGGTTCAGAGCTCTGCAAGAATGAATTCCTCTCTGTACACCTTAAGGAGGTGCACAGTCTCATTCATATTCCACACTGGTGTTCATCTGTGCCCATGCAAACTAGAGCTCATGGGACTTGAACTCAGGCCTACATGTGCTGCTCTGGTGTGCGCCCTACTCTGATGTGTGCTCGCCACTCTGTTTAGAATGGGTGATTAAACTCTGTTTCCCAGCACTTTTCCTGGTTACTTGAAGAGCAGTAGAGTCACAAGTTCTGTCCAGAGTGGTTACAGAGGAGCACTGTGGGATGCCTCCGGAGGCCAAGAATATTGACTTTTGCAACATTGGGTCTACACTACTGTAGAGTCAACTGTGCAAGATTGAATTTAGCATTACTCCTTGTGAAAAGCAGGAGTACTGAAATCAACTTTAGTGGCCCTTAAAGTCAATGGAACAGGCTTGGTAGCGTGGACTCATGTTTAGAAAATCAATCTTATGGGGCTAAATTCAACCTAAACTCCTAGTGTAGATCAGATCTTAGAAATGACGGAGAACACTTCGCTGATCTTTTACCATTTTACTTGTGTAATAACTTAGTAATTTTTAATCAGTTTATGTATGGAAAATGTGCAGCATTGTTTTGTAGCTGTCATCCATCGTTTTAGAACATTGCCCCAAAGGAAGCCTAAATATGTAGTGTAAATCTGGGCACAAGGAAAAATAATAAGAAAGGAAGTACTAAGTTAGAAATAGATTCCCCTTTGATGTCAGTGGGTTGATACCTGATTACAGCATACCTACAGTAAGTCCTTTGATATCTTGTACATCTTGCTAATGTTAACTACCCATATCAAACCTGCTAAGAAAAAACTAAAAAAACAAGAACTATAACAAGTTCATAAGGAATGTTTGAGTCACTGAGTTTAGTAAGTTATTGCTCAAGGCTTCAGCCAAAATAGGCTCATTTATCATCCCGTAGACATTGTGACACTTAAAAATGAATGAAGTGCATGTTATGAATACAAAAATATATTTCTGATAGTTCATAAATAAAGAGGATAAAGAACCAGCATAGGGAGTTCATAGATAGCTGCTTAAGCAGCCATACATAAAATTTGGCTTTTGGGTCAGGTTTAGATTTCCATCTTCCCAGGCCAATGGCTTCCAGACATGTTGCAAAAGCTAATTTTTCTTCTGCACTGCATTTCTACCACTAGCTGATAAATGGAAAGTAGGAAGGCAGTTGAAGAATAAGTACCCTGATAGCAGTCTCCAATGAGTTCTGATGCCAAGGGGAAATGTGTCCCATATCCCCTTGTGTCCCTGCAAGCAAAAATAAATATTTGCTTTGGTTACTTTTCCTTTTGTAACTTGTGTTTTTAAATATCTATTTCAGCTGTTCATGCAAAAAGTCTTGTAGCAATCCTTCGACTTTTGGTTGCATTGTCACAATATTTTCGGGCACCAATCAGACTCCCAGACCACGTGTCCATTCAGGTTGTGGTTGTCCAGGTAAGATAGGCTTAATTCAGCTGCTGGAGATGTTTTTTAAATTGATTGATGAGTTTGTTGAAAAGTGAACCTGATAACGTGTGTGTGTATGTGTGCTTGCTTGCATATGTGTCAGTCTTACTGGCTGACATTTCTTCAGCAAGCAGAAGGCAGGAGAAAGAGTATTTTCCCAGGTTGAACCATGCCTTGGAATATCTTATTTTGATTGCAAAGTGGCCAGACTATGCCATGGAGACGTATTGAATATTATTGTTGGAATGTATTTGACTCTCTGTCGCACAGTGTGATCTCTGAAGTTAACATTTATCTCATTTTGGACGATTTCTCACTGCCCCCTCCTACTGAAGATATTTAAATCAGCCCTTGCACTGAGTGATGAATTATCACCATTTATTAAGTCCGAATCTATGTTAGGTGAATAAATACTCTTTTTTTTCAGCCTTATATACACTAATCTAGTCTGATTATAGATTTTGGCTCCTTCATAAGCACATAGACCATCAACTGAATATTTTTGTGCCAGGCAAGCACCATATTAGAGCCCCATCTGCCTAAACTTTCCAGGTTCTTCCATTATTTTTTTCTAATAGACATCTGTTTGTGCTTGCTACATTTTGTTCTGCCTCTTGCTATTTAATCTGCTTTCCTTTGTCTACAACTCAATTCTGCCTTTATTTTTCACTGCTTCGTAGCCTTTACCTTTTTTGCTTGTTTATGTTGCTTGCCTGGGGCTCTTTGCAAGGAGATATTACTTAAACTCTCTTTAACTATGCATGACTGAAGATCTAAAGAATTAACAGCTCTCTTTTCCACCATTCCATATCAGAAAAGTTTTCAAATTTGGTAATTTACTAGTAAAGAAAGCTCAAAGGGAACTGGCAGACATATCACTGAAGGCTGATAACCCTGCTTATTGGCTTTAAACTACCAGTTGATGGGCTTTCTCCAAATAGAATCCAAGTGACCCATGGTGAGACTCCACTCATGCGTGTAAGGCGTCAGAGGGGAATTATTTTCAATCACTTTCCCTTCCTGATTTGAATGTTACACAAATACTAAAAGGCCGAGTTTTTCTCCGAGTGCTAATAATCATCATTGAAGAAGGCAAGAATGTATCTGTTAGTTCAGACTTAGAAAAAAGGGGGTAATGGGAAGAGGGAAAAATATATCCATAAGGAGCCCAGTCTTGCACTACTCTTCATTCTGACAAAACTTCCATGGAAGTCAATGGGCTTGATTTGCCTCTTTTGTCGTACGATGGTGAAATCAGGAGTAACTTTACTCAAGTCTATAGGTCTACATGAGTATATGCAGGGCTCGACAAATAATGCAATCTACTCGCCCGTGACGAGTAGATTGCAACCCAGAAGAGCCGGGTTCGGGCGATCTGTGCATGTGCAGATCGCCGGACAGCGCAGCTGGCGAGCACAGTGCTGCTACCACAGCTTGTTCATGCAAAAAGTCATAGAATCATAGAATACTAGAACTGGAAGGGACCTTGAGAGGTCATCGAGTCCAGTCTCCTGCCCTCACAACAGGACTCAGTACCATCTACACCATCCCTGATAGATGTATATCTAAGCTGCCCTTAAATATGTCCAGTGATGGAGATTCCACAACCTCCCTAGGCAACTTATTCCAGTGTTTAACCATCCTGACAGCTAAGAACTTTTTGCCTAATATCCAACCTAAACCTTCCTTGCTGCGGTTTAAGCTCATTGTTTCTTGTCCTATCCTCACAGGCCAAAGGGAACAATTTTTCTCCCTCCTTCTTGTGACACCCTTTTAGATACCTGAAAACCTCTATCAGTCTTCTCCTTTCCAAACTAAACAAGCCCAATTCTTTCAGTCTTCTTTCATAGATCATGTTCTCTAGACCTTTAATCATTCTTGTTGCTCTTCTCTGGACCTTCTCCAATTTCTCCATATCTTTCTTGAAATGTGGTGTCCAGAACTGGACACAATACTCCAATTGAGGCCTGATCAGCACACAGTAGAGCAGAAGATGACTTCTTGTGTCTTTCTCACAGCACTCCTGTTAATGCATCCCAGAATCACGTTTGCTTTTTTTGCAGCACTGTCACACTATTGATGCATACTTAGCTTGTGGTCCGCTATGATCCCTAGATCCCTTTCTGCAGCACTTCCCATTCTGTATGTATGAGACTGACTTTTCCTTCCTAAGTGGAGCACTTTACATTTGTCCTTATTAAACTTCATCCTATTTACCTCAGATCATTTCTCCAGTATGTCCAGATCATTTTGAATTATGACCCTGTCCTTCTAAACAATTGCAACCCCTCCCAGTTTGGTATCATCTGCAAACTTAATAAGTGTACTCTCTATGCCAATATCTAAATCAGTGGTGGCCAAAAAATTGTGGCTTCTGACAGAACTGGGATGGAACCTGGAACCACTCAGGTCAGCTGCTCTCATGGCCAAGCCACTCAGAGCCTCATGTGTGCTCACAGCCCACGCAGTTCCATTCACGGCCCCCAGTGCACTGCATCATATTCTGCATGTGCAGGCTGGGTTGCACTCAGCATCCCAGCCTGCATGTGCTAACAGCTGGCTGCTGAGCACAGGCAGCGGCTCTGGCAGCGGCGAGGGCTCTGGGTGTGGCAGTGGCGGTGGCAGCGGTTCCAGGACGTGGGCATAAGGTTAGAGGGGGGGAGAAGAATTGGGTTAGAGCCAGGAATGGAGATGCTTGGTTTTGGAGAAGCAGAGGGGAGCAGAGGAGGAGGATGCACGTGGCGGTAGCAGCAGTGGTGACAGCGGTTCTGGTTCCGGGACAGGGCATAAGGTTAGAGGGTGGGGAGGGGAATTGGGTTAGAGCAGGGGGGAGATGCCTGTCTCTGGAGGAGGGGAGTGGAAGGGGAACAGGTTGGGGGGGTGCACGTGGCATCCTGGACGCGTGTGGTGGTAGCGGCGGTGGCAGCAGCTCTGGCTCC